ACACACACACACACACCAACATCAGACTGTAAAAGTACAGAAACGTGTGAGAAGAAATAATAAAACCAGACTGAACTAATAAAATAAAATAAGTTTATTGTTTGATTCATTAAACTCTCAGTCGCCTCCTGCTGGCTGACTGCAGTTAACTCAGAAAGCATAATGTTAGCAGGAGGACAAACTAAAAAAAATACATTTTTCTCAAAGATAGTTTCTGAGATTTTAAGTAGTTCTTCAGTCCCGGTCTGGACCTTCAGTCCCGGTCTGGACCTGCTGTTCACTGGGAGCTCCCGGTCCAACAGAGTCCACTAATGGATCCACTACAGACAAATATGAGGAAGCAGCTCTCTGATTCTGTTCATAAGGACTTTAAAATGACTCGCACCCTCTGCACAGTGTCAGCTTCTTCCCTCGGGGCAGAGGTCCACAGTCCCAGGATGATTTCATTCAGATCAACAAAGTGAGTTTTTCTTGTTTTCACCTGCAATTAAACTGAATTTACTCCAGTGGTTATTTATTTTACTCTTGTTTTATTGTTCTCTCTTTTTACAGCCTTGTCATTTATCATGTTTGTATTGTCTGGTGTGGTGGAAACAAGGTTCAAGGTTACAGATTACCTTGAACCTTGTTTCCATTACTTTTAGATAACTACTGTTTATCCATTACATTAATTGAATTTGTCCATTTACCAATAAAACTGATTAATGTTACCTATAAGTTCCAAGTTCAGTTTAAAGAAAACATTTTATGTTCTATGTTGAAAACAAAGAACGTTCTGTAATAACTGAAAGATGTTTTTGAGGTTACAGATTGTTGATTATTATGTTCTTTTATAAAAGGTTTAGTTATATTATTCTAATAATTTTATTATATTTTAGTAAAATGTTACCACAAAACATTTAATAATGTTTGAGGGAAAGTTATCCGACACTTTAAAGTTATTTTAACTCTGTTGAAACTGATCACATCAAAACATTTTAAGTGACACAAACTCAGTTTCATCAGTTAAAAAAGATTCTTGATGAAGCTGCTTTTAGTCATTTTAATTTCATTTAATTAGTTTTAAGTTACAGAAATATTCCTGGTTCACAGTACAAATATAAAATACTACTTAATTTTACCAAAATTACTTAAGAATGTTTTTTAACTTTCAAAATTGGATTAATTTTAATTAAAATTTTCATTTTCAAACTTTTGTAGTTAAATGAACTCATCTTGTTTCACATTGTTTCTGTAAGAAGAACTTTCTATGAACTAAAGAACCATTTATTAGTAGACTTATGAATAATTAAAAACTATCTCTTTATTCCCCCTCTGCTTCCTCTCTGCAGTGTTCAGGTCTTACAGCTGTTTGAGCTTCTCTCCGTGTTGGGAATCACTGATTTACACGAGCTGTAACGTCTTCACGGCGTTCGCTGCGAGTCGACAGTTTTATCAGCGAACTCGACTCGTTCTCGTCTTTCTTTAAAGTCATTAGTCATCTGGAAACCTGTGACAGGACTCGATACAGAGCCTCTTTTATGACTTCTGAGAAGATTTCTTATCGGCTCTCAGTCGACTCTAAAGCACAGACGGAGTTTTATTTCCCATCAGCACCTCTGAACTGTTCTTCTTCGTCTGTTCGTATTAAACACACAGAAAACTGGAAATTCATCAGAAATATAAAATAACAGAGTCCACAAAGAGCCACAACCTCTGAACCTCCTTCAGTTTCAAACCGGGATCCAGGACCTCACAGGACCTCACAGGACCTGGATCCAGGACCTGGTCTGAAGCTCTGCAGCAGCATTTTGTAAACCAGGACCTCACTATGAGGCAGGTCAGCAACAATAAACAACAACATACAAGTGTAAAGTATCAGAGTCAGAACCTGGTCTGTGGAAAGTAACTTTTACTGCACTCGAGTACAATTGTGCAGCAGTTACTTTATTTTAGTATTTTAATGTTACTTTATATTCTGAACTTCACTTCTGAGGGAATTATTCTACTTTTTACTACATTTATCTGTTGAAACGTCTTAAAACAGATTTTCCGCTCTCAGATTGAGCCGGTGACCCTCTGGAGGGCCCCGACCCCTATGTTGGGAACCAGTGCATTAAACTGTATATAAAAGCTGTTCATACTTTTATACTTTAGTTGGATTTTTAAATGCTGCACATTTTCTCGTAATGGAGTATTTTTACTTTATCTGTATTTTTCCTGCAGTAAAAGATGAGAACAGTTCAGGTGTTGATGTGTGGAAGAGTCCAGTCTGTCCTGCAGCGCCCCCTTCAGGACAGACTGGATCTCTGATCGATCAATGACTTCAATAAAATGATTGATTCCAAAATGTAAAACATACACAGAGGTGGAATGTAACTAAGTACATTTACTCAAGTACAAAGTTGAGATACTTTTAGTTTACTTGAGTATTTCTACTTCTACTATATAATATAAATATTTGACAGCGTTTGTTGCTTTATAAATAAAGATTTTTACACACAAACATATTAAGAGTTTATAAAATACGACGTTTTGTTATAAATTAAAATATCCAACAGTTTAAAGTGCATCTGAAATCGTTATTCTATTAATCAATTAGACAGAAAATCAACAATTTGAGTCATTTTTTCATCTTCGCTTTACTCAAGTAACATTTTTAATGCAGGACTTTTACTTAATCTCTAAAGAGTAAGATTTAATTCAGATGTTATTTACATTTTGTATCATCTTTTCTACACCTGTAATGTCGTTAAACTCACGAGTGGATTCACACAGAATATAATCCCTGTTTTCATCCTGTTTAATTTGGTGTTTTTATGCAAAACAAAGACTTTTTGTATAATATTATAATATAAATGAAGAAAACTGGAAAAGAGAAGTGCCTTAAGACTCTTTCATTATATAGCAGTTAGTTTAATTTAACCTACATTGTAGATGTTTTTGTTTGTTTTTATGCTGCTTGGATTCATTAGACACACTTAACAACCATTCCTGTTCCTGTTTGTTATTTGAAGTTTAATAAAGTTAAAAAAAACATACTTTTAAATAATTAAAATACATAAAATACTTTATTAAGAAAACAGAAAATATGTGTACTAAAGATTTCATTATAAAAGTTGCATCTATACTCAAATTAATTAATATTTAAAGACTCTTAATTAAATCAAATAAAAACAAACAATGCACATTTATTTTCCTTCCATTTATAATTCTGTTGTAATCTCGGAACTGTTGGTAATCTCGCGAGAGTTCCCGCTCTTCCCGCTGAAACCGTAGAAGAAGAAGTGAGTCGGAACTCAAAATGTCTGCTCCTAAAACGATCCCTAAAGATGCTCAGGTAACGTTTATAAAACCTGCTCAGTCCGCTCTGCTCACACTTCCATTTAAATATCTCACTTAAAACTAAATGTTACAGTTTGTAACGACAGCGGCGCCGCGAGCTAACGTTAGCTCGCGTGCTAGCAGGCAGTTAGCACACAGGCTAACGTTAGCGGCGGATTACTGTTTAAAAGCGTTAGCATGTAGCCTGTTAGCCTGTTAGCATGTAGCCGGTTAGCTGTAAACAAGAGTTATTGTTGTTTGTTAATTTTATTATTTTTATTATTTATTCTTCTACGTTGACTGATCGATCAGTTTATTAACATTAACGGAAACTTTAGTTTGATTCATAAACTCCGAAAATAACGAAATAAACATTAAAACTGTTAATTAGTTAAACAACTTTAAATTATAACGTCACTTTGTTTATTTTATATTTTAATATTTAATATTTATTACGTTTATATTTAATTACAGTCTATGTGTCGTGTTATATACAGACACATTTTAATAGACTTTATTGATCAAAGATCCAAAAGAAAACAGAAAAACTAAATGCTGAAATCTAAAAGCATCTGCAACAACAACAACAACAACAACAACAACAACAATAACATTAGAGACGATGTCTTTGCAGATTTCATTATTGATCTTTTTCCCTCTTCCAATATGAAATGAACTCAAACAGATCAGATTATTCTCGTTCTGTTAATAATTAAAGTTTAATCCATAAAATCAGAAAATCAAAGAATCACGTCCTTACAGCGATATCATCTCAAACAGTTAAATATGTGTATTATTAATGAACAGCTGATGGTCCAGCTCCACAGAGTCTCTCTGGTCTCTCTGGTCTCTTCTGGTTCTGGTCTCCTGGTTCTGGTCTCTCTGTCCTCTCTGTCTCTGGTCTCTCTGGTCCCGGTCTCTGTCTGATGATCCGGTCTCTGTTTCAGGTGATGATCCAGATCCTGAAGGACATGGGGATCACCGAGTACGAGCCGCGAGTCATCAACCAGATGTTGGAGTTCACCTACAGTGAGTCTGCACGCAGAGCGCTACAGGAGCCTGGAGGGACAAAAAGCTGTTTAACTGGTTGCACTTCCCCTCAGTGACCTGCAGGTGGCGCTCAAACACAGACAGTGTTAGTGAGCAGCTCAGTGAAGAAGAGCCAACAGCCTCATTACAGAGACAACAACAACAACAACAACAACAACAATTCAGTGTTTAAAGTCAATACAGACAGAAACTTTATAAAGGGTTAAAAATATCACTAAACTAAACCTCAAACGTCATTGATCAGTTGATCAACTATCGAGCTGTACAGTTGTTACTGAATATAATATGAAAAAAACACTTCACTTTTATCATAAACTCATTGATCCTCCATCAAACAGTCACAATTATTGAATCATTATTATTATAGTTCCTGTTTAATGACTCATTAACATCGTGTGAGGAACATCTGTACCAACATCTGTAATCCCGAGCTGATGTTTGAAGCGTCTGTTCTCAGGATACGTGACGACCATCATCGAGGACGCTAAGATCTACGCCACGCACGCCAAGAAATCCACCGTGGACGCCGACGACATCAAACTGGCCATCCAGTGCCGCATGGACCAGTCCTTCACCTCGCCGCCGCCACGAGACGTAAGCCTCGCCGCCTCGCCGCCTCGCCTCACTGTCGCTGTGTCATAATGATTATTATGGTCTGTCTGTGCTGGAGCCGCTCACACTCACAGAAAGGCCTCATTAAAGATTTCTGTTTGATTTGTTTCTGACTCTGTCGAGGTCTTTAACGTTCAGTCGTGTGATTTAAGAATCACTTTTATTGACACATGAATTCTCAGTAAACAGAATAAACATCAACAAACAAACAACAACAGAGTGAAAGGATGCTGAATGAATGTTATTGTGCAGCTGTGTTAATGTAGGTGTGGTGAGTGGATATGAAACAGATGTGTTAGAGCAGTGAATGTGAAGTGGCTGTTAGAGAGACGCAGTCTGTATTTCTGTGTTCAGTTCCTGTTGGAGATAGCGAGGCAGAAGAACCAGGCTCCTCTGCCGCTGATCAAACCGTACACCGGCCCCCGTCTTCCTCCGGACCGCTACTGTCTGACGGCGCCCAACTACAGACTCAAGTCCGTACAGAAGAAGGTAAAAACTCTCCACCGTGAGCTTCAGTCTCCGACGTTAAACGACTGTTTGACGTGAACTCTTTGTCCTTCCAGGTGACGTCGTCTGCCGGCAGGATATCGGTGCCTCGCCTCAGCGTCGGCGCCGTCTCCAGCAGGCCGAGCACGCCGACCCTCGGTGAGCTTCATCGTCCGGATGAATTGATTCTATCAGGAAGTGAAAGTTTGTTCGTAAACTAACTCTGACTCTTCAGGAATGAATTATTTTATTTCCTCACTGAAGCAACGAATTCTCAGAGCTGACGGTTAAAATAACATTATTGTGAATCAGAGTAGGAAGGCTCACTGAAACGCACACAAAGTTTCCATGTTGGTAAAAGACTGTTTGTTACTGTGGGACTGCAGATGAAGGATGTTTAGCTGCTGTATGTGTGAGCAGAGGTGGTTGTTGCTTCAGATTAAAGTCTAACTGGCTCTCAGAGTAACAAGAAGAGCAGCAGCGACTGTTTCAGTCAGTGCTGCTGCAGGGACGCCGACATAAAGAACCATTTACACACAGTACTTCAGAAAAATGAGAGTCCTACACATCTGGAAACAATCTGGGGCCAAATAATGTGACAGTGAGAGAGAGAGAGTTCAGAAAGAGTGAAAACTACAGTCTGAGTCTTTAATGTGGAACCAGTGGAACCAGTGGAACCAGTACAAAGCTGAAGGAGTCTGATTGGTTGTTTTCTCCACAGGAACTCCGTCAGTCCAATCCGTCACCACTAAAGTCGGAGCTCCGGTGTCTCTGACGGGTCAGAGGTTCACCGTGCAGATCCCCCCGCCCTCTCAGACGGCCACCACCAAAACCAGTAAGAACCAGTTGATTTCTAACGTCAGATATGAGTTAGTGACATCAGAGCCCGATTATAGAACGATAGAGTTCAAACCACTCGAGGTTGTGAGTAGTATCGATACTTACCACCGTGTTTAAAGCGATACAACCCTCGCTGCTCTTCTCGCCCCCACAGCCACGCCGTCCACGCCCGCCGTCTCCAACGTCCTCATCAACCCGTCTCTGATCGGCTCCAAGAACATCCTCATCACCACCAACATGGTGTCGCAGAACTCCGCCGGGGAGTCGCTGAAGAGGAAGCACGAGGACGACGACGACTACGACGCTTTATGACGGCGGCGCTTTTTCAAAAACAAATCACCTTTTTAATGTTTAAAAGAAATGGCCCCTGCAGCGGATCCAGACGGAGGCTCAGTAAGAACTGTAAGTGCTGTTAGTGTTAGTTTTCTAAACGTTTAACCAGAGGAGGAGTGGAGCAGTACGAGCAGGACAAACAGACGAAACCTGCTGATGTTCCATTTTCACAATAAACTGAATTAAAGTCCAAACTGAGCTCCGCCTGTTCTTACGCTGTCTGATTTTAAAGGAATATTCCACCAATAATCTTCACACAGTTTCTGAGGTTAATGTGACTTTTATAAATCTGCTTCAGTCTTCAGTCGGTTTTATTGCCTTTGATCAACAGTTCCAGGAACAGGGAGGACTCTGTACCTGCAGCTCCACCAGGTGAGCCACCAGGTGAGCCACCAGTCTCACCGTTATGAACAGTGTGTGTTTATCGCGCTGTATCTCCACTATGGAACCAATAATTAACCACTAATTCAGTTCAGCAACCTGATTTCTATATAAATACGACCGCAGCACAAATCAACCTGTCCGTTACCCGGAGCCTCGAGATCGGCAGCGAGGACGAAAGGTTGAAACGTTTTTCATTCATTCTCATTAGTTTAATATATGGAGGTTTTAGAGGAATAAATACTGTGAAACAAACACACCGACACTTTCAGTTGACACTAAACTCACCACTGACGACATGTTCAGGGAATCAGTGTTTTCACTGTTATAAAATAGATTTAGACGTTAGAATAAAAAGGTTTTGTTTATATTGAACCATGATAACGTTGCTAACGGCTCCACATTTATACAACAACACAAATCAAACTGTCAGTTCCATATTGTCTTCAGTTGAGCTGCAGCTGCTTCTACAAATAATGAGCTTTGATTTCATCCAGTTAGAGAGGAAGATTATTAATGCAGCTGATTATTCTACAGCCATACGGGAAGAACAGGACGAAGGAAATTCATTGGTTCCATTTTCTAGTTGCAGCGCGATCAATAAACATTAAAGAGACTGAAACTGCAACTTTATACAAGAAACTGTTTTAACATTCATTTTAAGAGCTGTCACTTATATTTAGGACATTTAAAGAACCTGTAAACTCAACGTAACTGCATATACAAACAAATACATTTCTGTGGAACAGAAACAGTAAGTGCAGCAGCAGTGTCTGTTAGTTCATTTTGCCTTTAATAATAAAAAGAAAACTAAAATAAAAATCTCAAAATAAAAAATACATGGCAAAACAATAGACTCTTAAATGATTATGAGAATAATCATGGTCGCAATGATGATACAGTAGAAGTAATAATAATAGTCACCATCATAATAATAATAATAATAATAATCAGAAGCATAATAATCATAACTATCTGTTCTGGTGTTCGTCCCACCAGCAGAAATCACCTCCTGTTTATAGACATTATGGTTAAAGCATCGCACAGGCCGGGGCGTGGCACTTTCAAAATATTTTCACACTTAGCAAAGTTTACCCCACATATGCACGACGACAAAATAAAGGACAGAATCACAGCTCGTACGATTCACAGCACTGCTTGGAAAATAAAACTCAAATCCAAAAACTAAAAACATGCTCCGTTTGCTTCTTCTTCCCTTCTGGTGGCGTCGCAGCTTCAGTGACTCAGCGGAGGAGGAAGGGTGGGAAATTTGGCAGTTTTTTTTTGTTTGTTTCGAAATTGAAAAAATGGCCAAGCATCAAAAACAATCAACAATCTTCTTGTGCATCTCCAGGAATAATTAAAACAATACCGTCTGCAGTTCTGTGGGTTGGTTCGTCCAATGAAAGTGCAGTGCTCCTGTGTCTGTGTGGATCTGTGGATCTGTGGATCTGTGCGGTGGTTTTCAGGGGAAATAAAAACACTAAACTCTTTTTTTAAAAAGAAGAGACAGATCTGACGACAGCATACGAATGTTTTGGAAAAAAAGACCCCAAACTACTTTCAGAACTTCTGATTCTAGAGATTGAACGTACGGAGAGAAAGATTAAAAGCCCGAAGCTGCTGGAGTCCTTCACATCACGTCTGAGGTTGAATGGAGAGATTTAAAGGATGGATGGCGAGGCGGAAGGAGGAGGAGGTGGAGGAGGAGGTGGTTCATGTGGTGGAGCTGAAGGGAAACACTGGTGCTGTTTATCTTTATCACATCTCTCATTGGCTGCTGAGGACGGGTTCATGGCACTAATGTTCAGTGTCATTTGGTAATTTGTCATCGACCTTAAAGACGGACGATGAGAAAATATGTCAGATTTCAAGATTTATTGAATTATTATTGAAATATGAATAAAAGTCAATAATAAAACAGACAAAAAGTCCTTTATGGGATAAATTCTGATCTACAGATTAAACGTTACCTAACAATATATAACAATGTGAGACGAAAAGGCAAAATATTACCAAATAAAAACATTTATATCAGAAAAAGTTACACAAATATGTTTTTAAAATTTAAAGTTATAATGTGAAATTTAAATAATTTTACAAAACAAAGTCATAAAAATGTCCACTTAAAAAATTGAAAAATTGACATTTTTGTGGGGAAAAAAATTGTTTCATTTTTAAAAAGTCACAACTTTAAGTTATATTACGATATTTAAATTCTAATTTTACCAAAGAAAGCCACATTGTTGATTAAATGAACATTTCTATGACTTTTTGTTTGGTAAAATAACTATTTTTTTAGTTGCGACTTTTGAAGAAAACGTTTTCCAGAAAGTTATTTGACACTTAAATTGTAATTTTGTAATTTTTTTTTTTTTTTTAAGTTTGACAAACCAAAACCAGACTCGTTTCCGAGGCTTTCGAACACATCTCATGACCTTCTTCACTGTTTGATCGAGAAGCTCGGTTGTCATGGAGACGGCTTAATGGGTCACATGAGATTAAATGAGTTTTTACCTTCAGTGGACAAAATGATCCTGATACTCGTCTTTAAATATTTGTTATTTAAAATCAGATGGTTGACGGTAAAACTTGTGCAAAAGTTTATTCAATAGAGAAAAATCCTGCATTTGAAATCATCAATAACATATTTACAGTCCGATTATTAACAATAACACTGATTATAATTTGGCTTTTTCCCCTTTTTTATCGACTTTCAGTGGTTTCACAAACTGCATCTCAGTTTTCGGGCCACAATAAGAATAAAAAAAACAATTAAAAGATGTGGAGTTATTGGCAACAGTGAGATGTAGAAGGCACAATGCAGTTTACAGTAACAGGACGCAGTGGATGAACACAGGAGCTCAAAGTGCTTTCGGGTCAATCGCTGTCAATTTGAAACAGAGAGATGATCACAAACAAAGAACAGCAGTGTTTCCCTTTAAGAGGCGGATGATTAAACCAGGATCGAGTCTCAGACTAACATCGGTTGCTACAGAACTGATCTCAGTGCTGCTCTGTACACAAATCCACTTCTACTCGCCGACTCGGGTCTGAAGTTTAAAGAACGATTCCAGCGTGATCGGAGGTCGTGCTCGTGTTTCAGGTGTCGACGAAGACGGGTCGGTGTGACTTCTTAAGCCGCTGGTGGACAACGTTAACATTAACACAGTGAACACAAGTGATCTTTAATTCCTTACACACAAAAAAAAAAAAACCATGCTAATCAATGAAGAACGTATCGGTGATCGATTAACTTCCCTGACTGGAGAACCTGCAGATAATCGAGCCGCTGGAGATTTTTCTTACTGCAAACAAATGAAATGTTTAACGTCTGTTGGTGTACAGAGGAATAATCTCCGTGTTTATAATAACTAATATTTACCTTTTAAAAAGATTTTAATATTTAATAGAACTGGGTTTAGTCAGAAAAGCCACTAGAGGACAGCGTTAGACTCACACACAGATCTTCTGTTGAAATCTGACTTTTCTTCTAGTTTTTCTTGTAAAATTACAACTTTTTTTAAGGTTACAAATTTATAAAGTTGTGATTTTAAATCCTAAAAATTGAACTTTCTCCCTCAAAATGTCGAATATTTCCCCCACAGAGGCTCTAAATCTTAAAGTTACAGACTTTATAAGAGTTAAATGCTGCTCGGCTGCAGCTTGGACCCGATCACAGGCCACATTTTAAAATCAAACTAAATATTTCTGAGTCGTTTTTTAAGAACTGTCCAAATATTTTCCTCCTTCTGATTGTAAAGTTGTGATTTTACTAAATATTCCTTTAAAGATTTATTTTGGTCTTCATGAAAACATGAAACAAAAATAGTGACTCAAACTTTAAATGAAAGGAAAACTCCATCAACGCTGGAACGGTTCTTCAACAGAAAGCGAGCGAACGGGACGACGTTTTACAAACTGGTGGAGAGAGAGACAAAGAGAGACAGAGAGACAGAGAGAGACAGAGAGACAGAGAGAGAGAGAGAGAGAGACAGACAGACAGAGAGAGAGAGAGTGGATGCTGGTGAAATCGAACTTCAGTCGCCTGTATAAGTGAGTGTGTGTGTGTGTGTGTGTGTGTGTGTGTCCTCCTCTTGCAGCCGTGATGTAAGAAGCATCTACAGTATTTAACCTGAAGGAAATGGATGGCTCACCACTGAACACAGACCTCGACTGCTCGTAGAAGATTAGTTTTTCTGTTTCAAATATATATTCTGTTTGTACAAGACGGTGATCGTCGCCGCGGAAACGGTCGAGATTTTAAATTAAAAGAGGACGAACGCTGCTTCTGCTTCCTACGTATGTTTTTTTCTTCTTCTATTTAAGTTGTTTCTTCACGCGTTCACAAGCCCCGCCCACACCCGACGTCCCGCCCACCTTCTGTCCTGCAGCGGCTCGACATTTATGGGTTTTTTCACCTTCGGGCGAAAGACAGAAACAGAAGACAACGTGGAGAAGACGGCGGCGAAAATGACGGCGGCGTGATGAATGGCTGAAGCTTAAGAGGAACACCACCGACGCCCCCCCGCCCCCGCGAGGCCTCCGTCCAAACACGCCCTCATCCATCCCTCCAACCGGGGAATGTAACGTGAAGTGTGTGTGTGTGTGTGTGTGTGTGTGTGTGTGTGCGTGGTGCTTTCGAAGCGAGCGTATGAAGGGTTGGCGAGCTCCTAGCAGTCCTCGTCCTTGTCGTCCACAGCGCCTTTCAGCCGCAGGCGGGCGAAGTCCTCGAACACGAAGTCGTCGTCCTGGGAGATGCTGCTGAGGACGGAGAGTCTGTGGTTAGTTCACTGTCAGTAATAACAGTGGGACAGTTCAGTGTCTGTGG